AAATGTGTTGTACATGACTATGTTTTTTGATTTAATCCTCAAGATAGCGCTATGCAGTAAGTATTGTATTACTTCCATTTTACACATAGGCAAATGAGGTGCAGAAAGGTTGAGTAACTTGACCAAGCTTGCACAGCTGGTGAATAATGGGAAAGACTTTCCAGACCACCTGAAAGTAGAGAGTTTTTTCAACACCCTAATTAATCATGGAGGGGTAGAGATTTTACCTCTGGAATTTTTTTTTTTTTTTGGAGACACAGTTTTACTCTATTGCCCCAGGCTAGAGGACAGTGACATCAGCCTAGTTCATAGCAACCTTAAGCTCCTGGGCTCAAGCAGATCCTCCTGCCTCAGCCTTCTGAGTAGCTGTGACTATAGGCCCCTGCCACACACTCAGCTAATTTTTCTGTTTTGAGTAGAGACGGGATCTCACTTTTGCTCAGGCTGGTCTTGAGCTCCTGAGCTCAAGCAATCCCCAGAGTGCTGGGATTACAGGCTTGAGCCACTACACCCAGCTCAGTATGCATTTTATTTATTTATTTTTTTGAGATAGAGTCTCAAGCTATTGCCCTGGGTAGAGTGCTGTGGCATCACAGCTCACAGCAACCTCAAATTCTTGGGCTTAAAGGATTCTCTTGCCTCAGCCTCCCATGTAGCTGGGAGTACAGGTGCCTGCCACAATTTTTTGTTATTGTTGTTGTTGTTGTTGCAGTTTTCATTGTTTTAGCTGGTCCGAGCCAGGTTCAAACCTGCCAGCTTCAGTGTATGTGGCTGGCACCCTACCCACTTAGCTATGGGCACCACCCATAGCTAAGTATACATTTTTAAAAAATGACTTTTGAAGAACATTTAATAGTATCAGTGTTCGAGTTATCTATTGCTGTGTAACAGAGATTTCAAACACTACAAACATCTATTATTATAGTTTCTTGGGTCAGGAATAGGGGAACAGATTAGCAAGGAGGCTCTGGCTGTGTCTCATGAGACTGCAGTCACCTGAAACTCTGGTCCCGGAGGGTCTGCTTTCACAGTGGCTCATTTGTACTGGCTGGCATTGGTTCTGGCTATGGCAGGGGTTTCCAGTCCTTTCTTGAAAGCTCTCCACAAGAAAGTGCAAATGGCCTCAGAACTTGTTTTTAGTTAACCCCAGAGCTAGTGATTCAAGGATCCAAGGAGGAAGCTGCAATGCCTTTGAATACATGGCCTCAGGAGCCACAGGCATTGTGCTATTCCCTTGTTAATTGGTCATGCCAGCCTGCTCCAGTGTAGAGGGACTACAAAGCTTACAAAACTGGGGGGCATGGATCCGTGGGAACCATCATGGAGAATTTGAATTAGGTTGACTCTTTTTTCTCTTAGATTCGGTGTGTTTGCATCATGATTCAAATAAGGTCCACATGATTGCAGTTTGTTATATGGCTCTTAAATCTCTTTTAACCCCAGATTCTCTACCTTTCTCTTTTGTTTTTGGATTTGTACTTTGCCATTTTTTTTTTTTTTTTTTTTTTTGGCCTCCTTTGTCAACCTCACTTAGGGGTCCA